CCATCAGTTGACACCATTTAAGAAATAGGAGGAAGACCTTGCATGTAAGGTCTCTGCTGCGTATACCAGCCAGTACAGAATCTGGCAACGTTAGTGTGTTAGCGCATGCGCAATATCTTACAAGAGGAGTTATATATTGGGATGAATATGCATTTAAAATGGTTAGGGGGTATCTCAGCATAGATTTCCATAATAAACCTTTTTCAGTAGACCCGTATTTATAATCAGGAGAGCGCCCTAGCATATCTAGGGTACAAAACACCTACTTTATGCCTTCGCGTCCTTCCCCTTGCCCCCCCCTGTCCTTCGCGCAGCCTCCTTATTCTTCTACCGCCCCCAGGTATCTTCTCTGCCGCCTGTCCTCAGTCTCTCATCACTTCTCCCCCCGCAGAAAGCTATATTATGAAGTTTCCCTTAGACGGCACTACACGCCTAACACGGTGCGCGCGCATGCGCAATATCTTCCGTGAGAAATCGAAGTTTGCAAAGATTATGCATTTAAAATGAAGAGGAGTTATCCTAGCATAGATTTATATAATAACATTCCATTAGTTGACATTATTTAAGACATAGGAGGTAGACCTTACATGTAAGTTCTCTGCTGCATATACCAGCTAGTACACAATCTGGCTACGTTAGTGTGTTAGCGCATGCGCAATATCTCGCCAGAGGGGTTATATTTTGTGATAAATATGCATTTAAAATGGTTAGGGCGTATCTCAGCATAGATTTCCCTAATAAACCCTTTTCAGTAGACCTGTGTTTATAATTAGGAGAGCGCCCTAGCATATGTAGGGTACAAAACACCTACTTTATGCCCTTGCGTCCTTGCCTCCTCTGTTCCTCGCGCAGCCTTCTTCTTCTTCTACCGCCCCAGCTATCTTCCATGCCGCCTGTCGTTAGTCTCTCATTCCCTCTCCCCCGCAGAAAGCTATATTATGAAGTTTGCATCAGACGGCACTGCACGCCTAACACGGTGCGCGCGCATGCGCAATATCTCCCGTGCGAAATCGTATTTTGCAAAGATTATGCCTTTAAAATAAAGAGGAGTTATCCTAGCCTAGATTTCTATAATAACATTTTATCAGTTGACATCATTAAAGAAATAGGAGGAAGACCTTGCATGTAAGGTCTCTGCTGCGTATACCAGCCAGTACAGAATCTGGCAACGTTAGTGTGTTAGCGCATGCGAAATATCTTACCAGATGAATTATATATTGGGATGAATATGCATTTAAAATGGTTAGGGGGTATCTCAGCATAGATTTCCCTAATAAACCCTTTTCAGTAGACCTGTGTTTATAATTAGGAGAGCGCCCTAGCATATGGAGGGTACAAAACACCTACTTTATGCCCTCGCGTCCTTTCCCTTG